AACCCACTGGAACACTCTGACTCCCGACTAGGACGAATGGAAAGGTTACCGGCTCTCCCTGGAGGAAATAAGTGATCAACGGGACGACGGCGATATAGGTGATCTGCAACGCACTATGGCGCCTTCTTTGAATTCATCTAGAACCTCTCATTCACTGACCTTAACTTGCCTGTTAAGTTTGTCTGGGCTGCGTTGTAAGCTTTTCAATCAAGTTCTTAAGGTAATAAAAACCCATGTGTGTTTTTCCCCATCTGGTAGGATAGGGATTGAAATAACAAAGTCTGGATAATCATCTACATCACCACATCACATAGGAAACTATGTTTGGAGTTGCCATTTTTCTTAACTAGCGCAGAAAAGGCAAAGGCAAAGCAAAACATGTAGCACGGAAGAATATTCAGAAAGAAAAAGAGAAAGAAGGAATTTTCAGAACGTATTATTAGAACAAACGTCATGAGATATTACTAGTCTCCGCCAGCATTAAACTGGCGGAGACTAGTAATATCTAATGACGTTTGTTCTAATATTACGTTATTAACTTTACTTATGTTTCTTCGCCAAGCACCACACCTATCTTACTTCAAAGGCACAGTTAACGATGATTCCAAGGCACGCTTTTTAAGTCGAAAAGCGAAAGCATTGGTTGAGAATAGTGCGTCGGTGCAAAGAAAGCGAGAAAATCCGCCGATTTTGTGAGAAAGAAGGCTCCCTCATAGTGGTAAAAATAAAAGTCGTACGAGTTTACCGTGTAGGACAAGGCATAGAATGGGTATTCGACGGAGATTTCAACTGTTACAGCTACGCAAAGAGCGACTACATCGAGCCGGTATGGTCCAAAACCGTCTTGCACTGTAGCTATGGGTCATGATATGTTGTTTGAACAACCTGCATATATTGGTTCCATTGCGAATGGTGCAGCCATTACAACGCCGTTGGAACTCGTCCGCTTGGGCATTCACACGATACAATGTCTGGTCCCTGATTGTGCTCTGTCCAGAACGTGACAGTGAAACATATGGTATCAGTAGAAGCCCCGAAGTCATCCATTGGTGATATCTCAGGCACAATTTTTATCGGGAACTGTGCCTTTAGCTTTTTTGGTTCCACTCTCCATTCTCTATAACTTCTGCTGAGAATTTGTGCTAGCAAAAATGTCGGCATCACTGCATTCGAGTAAACCATGAACATGAAAAATAACGAAACTACGCATTCTCTTATGTTGCACTATTTATTGTCCTTTCCATTTTAATGGTTATGCGAAGCGAACAGCAGCCATCGACTCGTGCCTGCTGTAATTGTGTAAGTTGTTGTTATACATTCGGAGGGAAAAGAGGAGTGCTTGGGTTTTTTTCGCACAATCCATTTCTGGTGTTGCACGAGGAACCAGGGAACGTGGTGCAGTCGCTGTCGATCATACATGGACCAGATCCGATTCCATAGATCATGCCTGAATATGTCATTGCTGTGCTAGAAAATAGGAAACAATTAATAAAATGATGCGGAATTTGGTCCGTGTTGTTAAAAAATTTTATCACTCAGGGTGTTCAAGGGGAGCTGGCCTAATTTTGAACATTATAAGACCATACTTGTTACTAGGTTGTGGTGCAGCCATGAAGATGAGCCAAATATATGCGTTCTGCATAGCGCGAACACGAAGAACCTATAACATAGAATGCCCCCACCGGCGCAGTTTCATTAACGCAATCTTACCTTTTCTCGATTGGTGCAATGCAGCGTCACGTCGATCGCGTATGATTTATAAGTGCAAGAATCTTGAGAGAAGGGGGAACGAAGAAAAGCAGGCAAAGAAACGTACTTGGGGCCCATTAGCACCTCTCAAAGAGAGATATTGAAACCTACCATATGCCGAATGTGCAATACACCTGTTTTTGAATATCACACGTATCGGTGCATCCTATGCTGACAGCGTACCCAGAAATCAACTGAAAAACCTACATCTAAAAGTACAGTTGAGATGAACTCACTAGCTAAATTCACTTGATGAAACACTGTATAGCCAAAATTAGGGACGTAGACAGCAAAGTTATTGATATAAGCTCCAAAGTCATGATTGCCCTGTAGCAGCTGCTACCATACAGTACATGTTACAAGGCGGTAAGTTTTGTGAGAAAGAAGGCTCCCTCATAGTGGTAAAAATAAAAGTCGTACGAGTTTACCGTGTAGGTGCGTGTGATCTGACGTTTGGTCTTTGGCCCGACCGGGGGGTATAAATAGCCGGAGGGCTTCTCAGTCGGCTCATTCTTGTACTTGGTGGTCCACAATCCTGCAATACTGTATCCGCAATATCCAATATCAATACTCAATATCCAATCGACTCAATACACAATATCCGTCACAATACCCTTCCACAAAATCGGGCTCCACAATACGCAGGAAAAGAAGAAATACTTGCTAGTGTTTTGTTGTATTAATAAAGTTTACACCAAGCCGTGCACTCGAGCAGTTCAGAGGTATCCGCGTGGCAAATCTCATAGATTTTGGGCGAGCAACCTCACCACACTAGTGACCACATGCCCACCGCATTTCGAATTCTGCTTCTATTGGGATGGAGGACAGGATGTCAAAAATTCTGTCATGATTTCTTGTATGAATTCCGCCCTGAAAGTTGGTGACAAAGGAAATATGTTTGGAAGACCGATCTATTCCAGCAGTAAAATTGCTTGTTGGCTGCAGAGTACACTGCTTATTCTTCAGCCGTGCAGCAATAGTTCTAAAAAGTTGGTATTAAAGTTGCAACTTCCACAACTCACTGAGATTTAGCAACGTTACGTAGGCTCCGCAGTCGGACTGAATTATTCTCCCACAAGAATTGAAATTTTTCGATGACAACAATATTTTCGCCACTTTGCCACCAAATAGATTTGCTGGCTCATTTTCAAAGGTGGCGCATATAAATGTACAGACATCGAGGAGCATCCAAATCCCAGTTGAGACATGTTCCGACATGGTGGATACCCAAATACTCCAGCAGTAGCGATTGTACGATAAGCGTTAGCCAAAATGACGGAAAGTTNTAGTTCCACTTTGAAGGAAACTTTGAATATTGTGTCTTGGTACACCTACGAGAAGGTCTAAAAGAACTTCAAGGTGGCTGAGCCAAGAATATTGAATAATTACGCCGAGGATTTTCAAAGCGTCAGGTAAAAGATCAAGACACCACTGTACTACATTCGAATACCAGATAGCCATATTCGCCAATTGTGACAGAGCAAGCTCAAACTTCACATAGATTTTAGCCTAGCCGTGTAATCGCTTCACCGGACAACTCGTTGATGAGACGAATTTGAGGATACCACTTGAGTTTACATTTTCACTATAAAATGACCACGGTTTTGCTCTTAAAGTCACCATATTTCACCATATATGCCTACTTCCGATAATTCCATAAAATGAAGGTGAGAGGTCCTTATCAAGGGTGTAACGGAGTGTGCAAAAAAATCACAGTCCTTTGCTGTTCCAGTTCTGAGAGTTCAAGGAGCCTGGAAATATAGCCGTTCGTGAATGACGGCTCGATTTTAAAAGTAGGACAAAACCCATTAACATGCTCGAGTTAAGCAGAGTATGTTTAACACGAAGTAGAAAACTCGACAGAGGTTGAGGCTCAGAAGATATGTTTCAGCTCGCTCTCCGACTTCCTTAACGATTTTGTTATCGGGTCTTGTATGAATTTGCCCTGCACTTCAACAGTGATATTGAGAAAGCAGGAGAATGGGATTAGTCGGAATTTTCCACATTGTCTTCATCGTGATAGCCACAGAGCAACCCTTTAGCGGCCTAACAAACCACTACTGTTTTTCGCTTTACATTATGTATGGGGATGTATGAAAAGATATGCACTGATACCGCTAGCTATCGATATATACAAAATTTATGTCAAAAACTATTCTCCATAGTACTCTCATAGTAGTCTCAAAGTTTTCAAGAATCCGTTTAAAGCTCGGCTTGTTTTGATGTCTCAAGGATTTATCAAAAATGAGTTGCAGACTCCGTGGGATTGAATCATAATTACATATAAATTTGTTGGGAATTCATTTCTGTATCATAAATTCGATTGACATACCCCTTTTCGCGTGCTGGTTAAGCAGCTGATGATGTTATCTCAAGTTGTAACTAGAAGAGTGCAGTTTGTGCGAGAAACTTACTAACCAAGAGCAAATTTTTAAACTGTTGCGGAAGACTTCCCCTTATTCAATATCATTCAGTACTCAGTGTAGTTCGAGGGTAGGTGGAAATTAATTGGATTCATTGTGGCTTTCATCAGTGGTGGTGTCGAGATTCACTATCTCCATTCACCCTTTTCCATTCATTGTTATGTCATATCGAGCAGTCTCATTGTAACAAAAAAACCTAAATATCAATCAGTCGTCTGTATACGAGCTTGGATAGGAAACTTCAAAAAGTCCTACTCAGGCCCATCGCCTGACTAGCCTTATTGTTAGTATACCACCGAGAGGTACTGTCACAAAGTGACGGTTGCATTTACAAAGCGAAGTTCATTTTGAAAGTGAAACCGACTAGAATTAAGTATGCTGCTATTTATTTTTTATTTAGTCCCTACAGTAAGCAAACTTTTTGCGACTAGTGCGATAGGAATTTCCTGCCAGTGGCTGAAGCAGCCTTTTGTAAAGCTAGAGCTGAGCCAGTATTCGCTGCCGTGTTTATCCCCCTTTTATTTGTTCTGTGTCCAATCGATCGGTCTGAATCCTCGGTCGACCTCATAACGCGCTATTCAGAACATATTGCCCTTTCAATGGTACTGAGTACTCGTTTTTCATACTTAAATTTCAATCACTGCTTGCCCATCACTTTGATGGGCAAAATTTGATGACCTCCTTATTTCTCTCTAGGATTCTTACCGACTTTTTTTAAAATTTTTTTCTACTTTTAGTCATTACATCAATTGATGCATGCATCACATTGACTTTCAACGTGAGCCAACCAACTTTTAGCTCTCCTACTTTCCACGTTGTATTTTTCAGATGAACACCCTGTTAGTGATCATTGCCGCAGCCGCTATGAAAACGCAGATATCCGAATCACGAAGTGAGTAATCTTCTCCCACGCCCAAACTTGTGTTGCAGTAGTCCTATTAATACTAGGTCTTTTCTAAACTATTAGTATAAAACGAACAGAGAGGTCAAAGATAACTAAAATTTTCTAATAGAGGATGAAGGGCACAAGCACTATCCTTCGCAGGTCTTGTTCTTAACTCAGGAAAAACCGTACTGTGAGAGGAATCGAGCTAGCGACCATAGGGTTGAAGTGTGTCCACTTCACTGGTCTTATAGGAACAGATATATCCGAATAAGTAAAGGTTCAAGAGCTGAATGATAATCAATTTCCTGGTTGTATCAATTCTACTAACTATGGCATTTTCCTGACGCGAGGATGGTTTTTCATTGAAAGAACGCTTCATTCTTCCCCCTTTCTTACATTGTTGTTTTGTTTTCTCATTGTGGCAGGCAGCGAGTTTGAATGCGAACGGCAATGCAAGGCGAAAGAGAAAGCCATGCCTCGAAGAAAAAATAATGCCGACCGATTTCTGGCAAATTGCCAAATCTAACACTAGCTATGGGCGAAGGTAGCACGGCCACTTCAGTAACGGTCCTTGAAAGATGGCTAGGGAGGCTGTGGTAGGTAAAGAGTAAAGAGCTGCCACCGCTGGGGGTCAGCAAACTGCTCCCTATGCAGAGGTGAGAATCTCGATGAGAGGAATCGATCTTATTACATTCATTGAGATTCGGTTCAGCAATTCATAGCAATCAATCTCTAAGAGAACCGAAGAAAGAAGACCAAACAAGAAGTTAGTGCCCTTACTGAACTCTGTGCTTTCTGTCACAGTTGTTTATGTTCTTGTTTTTACGATTTAGCTTGAATGGCATTATTTTCAAAGCCTTGAGTTTTCTTTTGCCTTTTTTTCTTTCTTCTGGAATCATCAATTAGTATGAAGGAATTGAACTACTCACTAAGTTCGTTTTATCCACCGCGACCGCTCTTTTCGAATTCCTCAGAAACAGCTTAAGCTTCGAGGTATAAATAGGACTGTGGCCGGTTTTGCAAAATACCTACTATTTCCAAATATATTCTTTCTACTATTTTGGGGCACTCCCAGCCTTTACACCGTCAGCGTCTTCATTCTTTCAAAATTTTTTTAGTAAATCATAACGGGGGTAGTAGTGTTCAGCCGTTTCCTCACATAACTCTCATTTCAGGTAACTGCTACAGTTGTGCCTCAGCAAACATGAAGTCGGTGAGATTGTTTACTCAGTTGTTCATTTTGAAAGGATCGTTGTTCACTGTCTTGAGAACTGTGCGGGCAATCCACTTGAAAACTACTCCACTTGAGGGTCCTTAACCAGAATCAGTTATTGAACCGTAAGAGATGACTCCGGGCTTTTTCGACATGAAACCCTACATCCTCTATCTTCTCATCCCCGTCTTCTTAAAAGAAACTAACTGAAGCTTGAGAAGGGAGAGATGTGTGTATATAAACACACAAGTTTTCAACGTTCAATTCAATGTACGTAATAATAAGCGGACTCTCTTCTGTTTCCTTCTCGAACCAACCTCCCTTCTGCCTTTCTCTTGCCCTCTATACAACCAAATATGACTTCCGCTTTATCGTGTGGCTTGGGCTTGACCCTATACCTATAACTTATGGTCTTTGGGTCCTGAATCGACAGCTCCACAGCAGTTCAGGTTGGAATTCCAGCCAACAGGATTATCAGCATTACTAATATGTATCTTCTTATGAGCAGAATTTCCTAGCGAAGCAACGAGGGCCACCGAATAGAAAACAGGAACCACTAGCCTATGACAATCATTGCGACGACGATCCGTGGATTATAAAGGTTTGCAAGGATTTTTCTCTTTTCTCATCTAGGGTAGTGCACGAATGTTGAACTCCTAAAAAACGAAAAAGATGGATTAAGAAACTACTGCTGGAAGCCTCAAGGACTTTTCACCCTCATCAAATTGATTTGGGATGTGCCCCAGTCTTCAACTGTCACTTATGGAACAATTCGTAAAGCCTTCTTCTTGCCAGGGCTGCAATAGGGCACAGAAAAAAGTTTGCCCGCACGAAGGCTCATCTCGTGAGAAGACGTTATATGAACTGGATGGGTGGCCAATCTTTATTTTTGAAATGTCCAAATAGAGGCGGTGTGTAGTGGCAGTGGTGCACTTGACACACGCACCATCACGGGTTCGAATCCCGAATCGATAGCCGCTTGAGCCAATCAAGCCTTCCATCCCGCTGAGGTCCGTTGATTGGTACCAGACTCGTCTCGGAGGATAAAAGCGCTGGTTGAACATCGGTTTACAACATCAAGTCATTGNATAGGCCACATACGCATTTAATACACCACTACCACTAAAAAGAATTAGGCGCTCGAATGTAAGTGGTACTGCTTAGATTAGTTGAAGAAATTTTTACTCGCTTTTTTTCCCCTCCTTCAATTTGCAGTAAGCAATTTTGACGGTCCGACTGAATAAACATGGTAGATCTGAAAGATTCCGAGACAGCTCTTTTACTGTAAGCAATTTTCCACAACTATTTGTTATTCAACTGAATGTTCAATTTGAGCAACGATCTACAGTTGCCTGCGATACAAAGTGTTTCAAATGGCAGCAACTGCTGAACAACTCAGGTGGGTGATGTGTTTAGAACACTGATTCTTCTTCGGAATGATTTAAATGCTCTCAACGATCGTAATAGCTTACAGGTTCATTCTCAAAGATGACATTTCGTGGATGCTACGATAGGATGTTTGACTTGATGAATCCCACTACACAAGCAATACCAGATCACAATTTCTGCACGATGGGAGAGGTTTGTTTTCCTAAACGATAGGGTTTATATATCTTTTTTGGTATAAATGCCATTTTGGATTACCACCCTAGAAATGGAAAAGCATCGGATCTCACAGCCAAGGAGTGGTTTCTCGTTTTTTTCGAAGAACTCCATTCTTTTTGAGAATCCTAGAATGGCGAAATGAGATTCTATAATCCGGCAAGGACTGATCTTTGAGTTCTATTGTACAGGGAACCTCTCCCTCATGTTGAGACACCTCGTACTTGACGGATGGCAGATGTAAATCGAGCCTTCTCTATTTCTGAAATCACAAGTCTTTTCTTGCCTACTATGACATGATTGCCTTCAAGTGGTACACCAAAAATTTTTTTTGACCGGTGGCGGTTGTTTTCGTCACAGCAAAGGTTGCGCAGAGTTTGGCTGGCTGGTCTCTCACTCTAGGGTTCATTTCCGCATTCGCCCACACTGTCGTCACAACGGTTTTTGAAAATATTGCTGACGTAACCTAACATAACTTCCCGGTCAATTGCGGCTCAATTTAGTGTATTCGCTCTCTTGCGAGGTTTGGAGCTGGGTAACCGATCCTGCATGTAGGGGAAGGGAAAGGTCGGTTTGATTGGATCTCATATTTGAACTGCCTCAATGCGTGCCATATTAGCGTTTCCACCCAAGAACATTTTGCGTTTCCTTAAGACAGCAGGTGACGAATAAACAGGGAGCTTATGTCAGATGCAGCAGACAGCAAGCTTAGAGCGTCAGTCATTTGACGAGAAGGAACCGATTTGTTTGTAAGTGCCGCCTCCCAAAACGGACGAGTTGTTGATCCTTGACACCATCGCACCGGGACCCTTTCCTTGCTCGCAAGCTTCCATTTCGGGCAACTGTGTGCCATGGCTTGTGTGTTTGAGTGGCATGCCCAATAACCCCTTTTATGCAATTTTTCCGTAACATTCTCGTTCAACCCCTAATTTCAGCTCTTTTTTTTGATGCCTTATATTTTTCTAAATGAGCCGATTATCACTTTTTCTCCGTTGTTTTTGCGCTATTCTCGACTATCTCTTCCATTAGTCGCCTAAAACTATTAGATAACCCTTAATAACAGTGAACTGCGATTCTGAAAACAAACACGATTTGCATGATGAAAAGTAGTAGTGCAGATGGTTGAACAAAAAGGAACACATTTTTTATGATTAAATGAAGTGGTGTAGACGGCTAAACTTGACCAATGAGGAGAAGTTTCTCTATGCAATTCTGAGCGCGAGGTCACCCTGTTCCAGGAGAATCTTGGGGGTGAGGCTATACGAAAAAGTCAGCAATATTTATACTTCCAGGTTCAGCTAGCATGCCTATCAGACGCCTCGGTGATCGAGCATTCGTGTTGGTGTGATGGGGACTTTTGTAATAGTGTTAGCAAATTCACCTATGCAGCGCCATTAGCAGCACTTGTTCTTGCAATCTTTTTTTAAACGGTCTCATCTATGTATATTATCGATTAACCCAGTAGCGGTTGTGTATTTGTATTTGTATATAGTTCGAGATAAACATTGTTCTGACAGAAGTTCTCGAGTTTCGAGTACAATTCAGATGTTTATGAGTCTTTATTCTCATTCCAGTACGAATATAAGTCTATTCAATGCTTAACTATAATAGGAGATAGGCTACGTCGACATTTATTAGGTTCGTCGTTTCTGTACAGTTGTATCGCAATATAGGAGTTTGAGCCGATTTCTACATTGAAATTATAGCTTCACCCGTATAAAGTACAGATCGTACAACAACAACAGCTGAATTCGGCAGTTATAAAGGTCGAGGAAGATTTTGTTGCGAACTCCTTGCCATACTGCTGAAGATAGGAGATTATTGTATGTGCGATGTCCTCCTGAACGCAGACGCCAGTAAACAAAATTTTGTCTGCTGGTTTCCTAAAATTTTCGTAACGTGCACGAGAAATTGTTACACTGCGTCAGAGTGACGGTAGAAAGTGTCCTATGGCATATTTTTCGTTTTAAAGGATAAAGCAACAGTCTAGGGGTAGGGGTTCAGCGGTCCATAATTATGCTTAAGATAATTTTTCTCGTGAATACACGGTTCAATACAGTTACATGATTCCAGTAAGATGGGGTCACTGCCTATACTGCTGCAAGCCGTTCTATGGATTCCTTTCTTTGCCCCTTGTATTAGTTCTTTACAATGTTCATGTATGTTTTCAGGCTTTGTGAGTGTAGGTATGTGTAACATAATGCAAGTGTCATTTTACTTTGTTTAATGCGGCCGTTCCCTACCTTGCTGAGAAGAAGAAAGCATTTATTGGAATAGTTCACGAGCAAATTGAAGAACGTGGACTGAAAAAGAGGCTGGATGTCCCGGTGCTACAAAAATTGAAGGAGTTTAATCGACGCCAGGAGTCGATTTTCGCGGTTTGCACTTCCAACACGACGAAGACGATTAAAAAACGAGGTGAATAGGAGAAACGGTCATTAGGAACGATTTTGGGTAATCAATTTGCCGCACGCGACTGTCGCGGACCACTCATTCGCCGTTATTACAGCTCTAGCGTTCTTCATACAGCCAATCGATATGCGATCATTATTTTATGCATAATTCTACTATTAGCACTTTTGTTCTTGTATTTCTTACCTACTGCTGCATCCTGCTACATTCCTTCGCGCGCGACGCCCCTCTCACCGCGACGCGACCATCTCTTTCCTAACGCACTATACCCGGCGAATAGTTCTGAGAGATGAAAATTTTTCATTCCCGAACGTTTATGATCAATACTGGATGAACCTGCTCAAACGAGATCGGAAGCTGATTTGGTCAAAAGAAGATTACGCCATTGATTTACAATGAGGTGTAGCCTGAAGCACTTTTAAAAAATCAGAGTCTAAACTTGTAGCTCCATGTACTTATTTGGACGTGAGAAGAAGTCAAAGAAAACCTCCCAAACTCAATGAGTTGCAAAGGACTTGTGAGTCCCAAAACGAAAGACCGCATACATCTTTGGTGGTTTGGCGAAGATCATTGAAACCTGGTCCCATTCAGTTAAAAACGGTTCAGTATTTACTGGCGAAGACTCATGAACTTCACGCTTGTCCGTTTTGTCACGGCACACTAATGAATTACCAATGGCTCCTTCGAATAAGCGTTGGAGGAAGGAAATATCATAGAGTCATTCGATGTGATGTTATTCTGCGAAACTTATTAAATGATAGTGCTAGGATATTATAATCGAACATCATTCTAATTTAGAATTCCACGGCTTAACATGAAGAAGATAATGTTCTTGCTCTATGTTATTTTAACTGCATAGTCCTTGGGGTGGTTGGGAGGATACTATAAGCAAAAAAGCCAACTAGCTGTAGGACAGAAGCTAGCACCTGGCCATCAAGTTTATTTCAAAAGTTGAAAGGCTTGCTATAGAACGGAGGCTAATGGTTCACCGCCTATACATGACTATTCCACCGACTCCTTCACTGAAAGTTCTTTCTTACCGGAGAGCTTCTAACCACTTCGGGACGAGGCCACGTGGTGTGGGGAAGGAACCTTATGTGTAGGACAGGGGAATAAACTGCAAAGTGAATGTCACCTATACTTGAGCAGAGAGGTAGGTGATTAGGGAAATGTACCTCCTGTTTCTGCTGTACATGATCGATTTATAACTTCTGTCTCCTCGCACGTGTATCATGCATACGTAAAAGGAGAGTCGGCGGGTGCGGTGGGTAGGCTTGAGAGTTGTTTGGGTTCACCCGTTGTCGACAGTCACCACTTTAATTCGCACTGCCAAAACCATTTTCCTCGCGATGGACTGAGAGTCATCTGAAAGGCGGTTTCATAATAGTTCATGCACATTAGCGAGGAATCGCGCGAGCTAAAGGCAATCACCTACTGAAGCCTGAACTTGTCCAGCTATGCAGAGAAACCATAAGGCAAGATCTGGAAGAGAAAAGAGCGGCTAAAAGTGCTGAGACTGAGAATAGCATTCGTTAAACCCGTCGAATTGTCCCATACTGCAATACTGGTGTTAACCCGCGGTCAGCCGGCTCGATGGACTAATCTCGATTCCCCTGTAAGAGTGAATGCTTCAATGGTTGGTGGTTTCCGCTTTTGAAGAAGCATCAAAGGCCTTTCGAAGTGGAATAGCTATGTGGTTACGTAACCGTTTCCGTGTCTTGTCATCGGTTTCTTATTACCTCGATATTTCGCAGTAACTCCTGTGAAGGTTGCTTTCAAGCTGACGATGGAGGCTCACGAGCGGTAGCTTTGAGGATGGGCAACTGGCGATGAGATCAGGAACACGGTCTCTGAGTGGACTTGCTGCAAAGGCGTTATCATTTTAAAGATTATTTATTCCAAACATTTTGCAAAAGAAACTGATTGCTTCCCGTGCTGCCTTTATTTGAAATTCTTGTCTTCTAATTTATTGAGCTACTGAGCAACTCACTTTCAGATACTATGTCTTGAGCTGCGCTCATGCTGTTAGAAATGAACACTGTCTAGCGACGTCCTGGGAGTCAACTGGCCCCCGTGAATGAAGAGGCTAAAAATTTAAATCTCTTAAGCGGAGTTTGGATGGAGTTGCGAGGCTGTTAATGATGTTGAAAATTGAATTGTAGTGAAATTCAAGCCCGGCTAAGACTTGTGGGATCTTGGCTTACCCCTTGTGGTCGGGCTGCAGAGAAGAATGTTTGTTTGAAGATACTGCTCACAAAGAGACTTGCTTGTCCATCACAGAGCTCCCGGGGGGCGCGCGATTCACGCGCCAATATAATGAGGTCATCGCGCACGCAGCATCGTTTCAGTACCTTCCTGTTGAGATGGACCAAATAAATTTGCAGTAGTTTACGGCTTCACCATGAATAGAGCAAATCTCTTCACTATGGCA